TGTGATTACACTAAAAGTGTATTATTTGGAAAAGAAAGGGAATACATCATGTTATTAAAATGTTCCAGTTTGTTTCTAAGTAACAGAATCTCTGTGGTCAAATAAACTTACATTAAACTATCAGCTGATACTAGCAAATCATTTTATAAATTATAATTGGTGTAAAGTTTGTTTATTATAAATTAGGAATTACATTCACAAACACCAAATTTATATGTGAACTATTTAAAGGCTAATTCAACTAATATTCAACACCCAGAATAAAGAATGCATTATAAATTAGAAAGAAGTCTATTCTAGGGTGGTAGTTCTTAACTATTTGAGGATCCCTCTGAGAATAAAGTGAAAGCTATGATGGATTCTCTCTGCAGAAAAATATCTATAAAAAAACATTTTGTATGTGTCAAAAGATGTACAAAATCTTTCCACAAATTCTTTAGGAATCCATCTACTCAAGTTAAGAATCTCTGTCTACAGTAAAGTCTTAATTAACTTAAATTTTACCATAAGTATTTTATTACAATGAAGATAAATGAAAGGATTAAAATTAAGGCAAGCTGCCTCATTTGGCCCAATTTTTAAGTGTTTATTTCCATTAATTTAGTAGTATTTTCAACACTACATAAAATTTAAAGAATACAATAAGTATATACTTTTCATCTATATTCACTAAATAATACTATTTCAATTCTTTTCATCTTTCTCTCCTACTATATCCATATCTGCCTGTCCATTCTTCCATTTATATAATTGTATCTATTCATCTACCCTTCTATCTATATACCTGTATCTGCAACTGTATTCATCCATCATCTGTATATGTCTATGTAATTTTTTATCTGTCTGTACACTTGTACCTATAACTCTTATTCATCTCTCCAGCCATATGCTTATATCTACATCCATGTCAGTACATCCATACACACACTCATCTGTCCATCCCTTGGCACAGGATGAGTATGGGACCATCTGAATGCATTTTCAGATATCCTAATACTTTACTCCAACAAAGTATGATTAATCTAAGAACAAGGACATTTTCTTACATAACCATGAGACAATTATCACACTATCAAATCCAAGAAATTAAACATCGATTTAATATTATTATCAAACATATGGTACACATTATGAATAATGCCCTGTGCTGCCATGCATAAGGTTCAAGACCTAATCAAGGCTCAAAGACTACTATTGGCCATTTCTCCAAGAAGCCCTGGTTCTTTCTGGCAGAAAATAGTGTTTAAAAACACATCTGGAAGCTAGATATACTCAGTGCTCTCAGGTCCTCTCAGTGGAAAGAGCTGGGAAATTTAAAACAAAACTGTTATTCATACTGATTCTTCAAAGCACACTGACTTTTGTGACATTCTTTAAAAATATTTGGCAAACATACGATATAGTTAACTAAATTGTAAAAGTCCTTCATTATTTGTTGCTTTTTTTTTTTTTGGTACCAGGGATGGAACTTGGGTCCTTGTGCTTGCGAGGCAGGTGGCGGAACCACTGAGCTAAATCCCTGGCCCTAAAGAGAAAGTAATTTGTATTGAAATTCCATTGGATAACAATCAATGTTTCTGTTCACAGAGTATCAGTACAGGGAATATTACAGTGGATCCTTGACTTACGAACTCAATTCTCGAGTGCTGCTTGTAACTCAAGTTGGTCAGGCTCCTCTACACAGCCTTCAAAGTCTCTCTCCTGTATAATTTTAGGCCACACTTTCTTCCAGGCAGATCTCAGTGTCCTTAGACATTGGCCCAGGACTTTCCAATTAACCCCACATAGGAAAGGATGTTGCAATGTTCCTTCCAGAATTCTTTAAGGGTTAAATCTATATCTGAGACCATCTGAAAGCACAAGTGGCCAGCATTTGGGTTGTAACTCAAGACTTTGGTTACAAGTTAAAACTAAAATTCCAGTCTTAACTCAAATTGTTCTTATGTCAGGCCAGTCATAACTCGAGGGTCCACTGTACTTCACTGGTTTTGTAATTTATCTTGTTTGCAATATAATATACAGCTTACTCATGGCTTCTAAAAATAATGTTAGAACTAGTTCTTTGATATTTATATAAAAACCCGATGAGAAAAAAATCAAACATGTACCATAGAAAAGAATTAGGTCCCCTCTAGAGGACACACTAAGGAACCAAAGACAAGAGATTTTTGTCCTCACGATACTTAGGCAACAAGAGGCCCACTGCTGTGTTTTGAATGACAACTTGAAAAAGAGTGGCAAGTAAAGTGCCACCTTAGTTTATATCTGCTGTACTTGGCATGGTAGAAGTGAGGTGAAGCTTCCCACCACACAGCCACAAGATGGGCAAGGGCTAGGTCCAGGGCCATTCCTCTACCACTCTATCTGCAGAACAGAATGAACAAGCCAAATATGCCATCCCTACCAGCATCATACTGCACGGCCTTTCTTCCCCCAACATTCTGACCACACAGCAAAGACTAGCCTAAAGGTCACAATGGGGAGGAAGAGAAAGAAGTTGTAACATACTTTTAGAAATAGGGGGGCTGGGGATTTAGCTCAGTGGCGCCTCAACTGTCTCGCAAGCAAAAGGTCCTGAGCTCGATCCCTGGTCCAGGGGGAGGTGGGGAACAAAGATAGAGATTTTTTATTGCTTCTTGGTCTTTTGGCTAAGATCAAGTGTAGAAACAGGAACTGCTTCCTATCACCCTAGTTTGAGGAAATTGAGCTCTAGTAGGTAATTTGTATATGTATGAGCAGAGAAGTGAAAACACACATCCCCCTGACAAAAGCCTCAATGACAGACAATTATTTTGCAAAAATAGGAATCATATACTGGCAAAAGTTGATTTCTCAAGAGAAGGTGAAATCTTGTAATTTCTAAATATAGCAATTCCCTACCTTATAAAAATGCATACATATGACCCCCAAAAAACAGATAGAAAATGTTCACAGGAGTTCTTGAAAAGTTAATTATCCCAGTTAAATAAATATACAGTCATATATTGGTAAACAATTACTTTGAAACTTGTTGAATTTGCTACTTGACTCATTTTCGGGCAAAAATTTTGTCCTAGTACTCATCATTTGTCTGGTGACACACAAGCTAGAACTTGTGGGTATCAAATGCCGTGTGACTCGCTAACCTTTTCAACCGAAACAATTTGGTACTCATCATTTTTTTTTTCTTCATATTTTCTTTTTTTATTATTATTAAATTCTTTTATTGGTATATTGTAGGTATTAGAATGAATAATCAAAAATGTAAAATAGGAAGAAAAGGTCCAAAGGGGTAGGGGTAGTGGGAGGGGCAGGGGAAAGGAAATGGAAATAAAGTACTCATCATTTTTGGTACTCATTGCACCTCTCAGAACCAATGAATACCAAGGTATCACTGGTAAGTATTTTGTGGTGTATTCCTATAACAGAATACTATACAGTAAGAAAAATGAACTACTTGCTAACTACAATGGTACTGGTGGCTCTCAAAAATACAATGCTGAGTGAAAAAAGTAAGACACAAGAGTGGACAGTATGATTCCATTTATGTAAAGTTCAGGAAACAACCTATTGTGCTGAAGTCAGGCAGTAACTTTAAGGAGGATAAAGAAGGACAGGGGAAATGGTGGGATTTCCTTATCATGGATGTGTTTGTGAGAATTGATTGATTTGTAACATTGTAATATGTTTATATCTTTGTAAAATACACTTGGATAAAGAGTTTAAAGCAAAATATTCTGTAGGACAAAATGAATTTTACCCAAGAGCTCCCTGTTAATGACCATGCTGTGATGGAATCAGGCAGATGCTGGATGCTATAGGCCTAAGGATTAATACAATCCAGTTCATACTTTCATTATGCTCCCAATTTATCGAGTTAACAGATATATTGCAACTAAAATATAACAAGAAATGAGAATAAGAGCATTCTGACCCAAATAGGACAGCTGCTATTCCCTCAGATGCTTGAGGCTCAAGTAGTACCTAAGCTACGCTGAAGGCTGGCAGTATAGCAGTGCTGAGGTGACTGCTATGATCAGATTCAAGGCCAAGGGACAAATATTTTATGTGGGGGGAAGATGAACACATGGCTAGCTTCCCTGCATATATGAAACACAATTATTCTTTCTGTGGCTGTAGCAGATTCACTTCAACAATCTGTGCCACTCTTGAGAGTGGGAGCAACAGATGGTCTGATTCTGAGATCAAGTTCTGCTCCAAATCCACACAACAATCAGGTGATCTACTGGGGTCACCCACATCAGTGAGTCTTTGTCCCTAGGATAATACAAATGGTCCACTCTTAAATGATTACATCTTAGTGGATGTGAGAATTAGGCAAACTCTTGAAGCGAGTGGAAAATGGGACGCAAATAATGATTCTCTTCTCAGACAATGGCATTTTCTCTGCTCTCAGGTCTCCTCAACTGCAATGAAGGCTCAGCCAAGACTCTCTTATAATGGGAAAGCTGCACAAAATATATATAGGAGGGAGTCACCTGGCTGCATATGTCTATCTACATCATTCCACATGCTGTGTCCAGGGAGCACCTTCCAGGGTCTGGTCTGCAGTTCCCCTCATATGCTTATGGCAGGATTAAGAGCTTTTGAAAAAAAAAATCTTGAGAAATATGCTTAATGTAATAGTTTCGGTCATTAGGAGAAAATAAAAGCATGGGTCTTTTCTCAGGTACATTATAGTTTGGGTTATACTTCTATATGCTGGGATTCTTTACCAAGAGTGATAAATATTTTACTAGTCCATTCAGGGTGACTTCTGAAATTGTACTTTATTTATGTGTTTATTCATTTACGAATTTCATAAAGTACTTTTTTTTCTCAAATCAGGTACTTCTTGAGTGACTTTGACTACAATTTTAATGGCCAGTTGCCATGTATTATTAAACCCTTTTTTTCTTTCCAAATCTTCCAGTAGACGTCTAGAATTTAGCTAGAAGTTTTGGCTACGATACAAACAGTGATGGAAAACATATGAGCAGTAACAAGTTTTAATCTCGCTCCTCAGTGCTAACATGGACTAATCTGTAGAAGCAGTTTATTCCAGTGTCACCCAGGGTGCAGCCACACAAGGGCCTGTGCTGAAGAATATTTTTTCTCATAAATGAGACATCTTTTTCATCTTTGCTTCTTAAACATTGGCTGAGAACATTTACCTTGTAGATAAGTAGCACAGGGTGGATAAATTCTACTTTCAAGAGAACTACTCTCTTCTGACAAGGTATGTTTTCATGTTTGTCTTACATGTACCAGCATACAATTCCTTTATAGTCAATACTAAAGAGACACTAATATGAGTAATAAATGTTTATGAATGATAATGGTGAAGTTTAAAGCTTTTCTCAATAGTTTCTAAAAAATCAGTATTTAAATATGAACCTAAATTTGTAGCTAAAATTACTCTAGTTTTATGCCTTGTATTTAATAAATTTTAAATATAATTATGTGCTTTTTTTTAAAGCTAAGTGAAAATCTGTTATGCTTTACTAGAAATGATAACATGATTAATTTAAAAAAATCATTTAAATAGACATGTTCTTTTAGGAAAACAACATTATAAATTACTGATAATGAAATCTAGGGTATCACAAATATATTAATGGAAACAGTAAATATTTCTTTTAAGTCTAAAACTAAGATATTTTCTAATGTTTTTAAAATGTGTATTACCCAAATGTCATTTTTACTTATAAATTTGAAAGTCCATATTTTTTCTTGATAAATTTAATTATGCAATGAAATGGTACTAGACAGTTAAAGCAGAAATCTACATAATTTCAAGAAATAATTTAAGCAGTTCCATGTAAAAGATTAGTGATTTATTTTAGTAAAATCTAGTCAGAATTTAACACATTGAAATAGTTCCTCTGTCCTTTTCCAAAGTAAAATTTTTATTAAATCTTAGATTAAAAAATTAAGCATGTATTCAAATAGTCTATTCCCTAGTAATAGAGCATAGCATTCATGTTAATCTATACAGAGGTGTGGCAGCCAAAAGATAGTGGCCATATGCTATTGAGACTGAGTCGTAAAGAACATGAGGGGTTGTCTTGTTCTAAAAATAAAGTAGTTTTATCCCCCGGCACTGCTTCCCCCCAAATCATTACCTTATTAAGAAAGGAAGGGGGAGGGAGGGAGGTAGAGAGAGGGAGAGAGAGGGAGAGAGGGAGAGAGGGAGAGAGGGAGAGAGGGAGAGAGAGGGAGGGAGGGAGAGAGAGAGAGAGAGAGAGACAGAGAGAAAGAAAGAGAGGTCATAAGTCCATAGTCTCATAAAAGTATCTTGATGTTTTTAGTTTATTTTTTGGCATTACGCAACATAGTGCGGTAGTGGGAAGAAAGGAGATTGTGTTGTCTTGTTTTATCTAACCACTACATTAAAATTGAATATTCTGATACCTGATCTGAGGTTTGAGACAAAACTTTACAAGCACAAGAGTTGAGGCAATGCAGGAAATAGAAAACTGAAGAGCTTAGAATTTTTTGTTTTTAAAACAACAGCTAGGTTGCTAGAGATTTTTTTAAATGGTGAAAGGAAAAAAAAAAGACCCTTAGTACATAAGGAAAAACAGAAATTCTTTAGGAAAGTGTTGGTTTAAAAGTATCAATGTTGGGGCCGGGGATTTAGCTCAGTGGTTTTGCCACCTGCTGTGCAAGCACAGGGACCCGAGTTCGATCCCCGGTACCAAAAACAAAACAAAACAAAGAAAGATGCTCAAAAGTATCAATGTTCATGAACAAATGGTACAGTGAATAAGTTTCCAAATGCATGCTTGGACTTTTAACTTGTTAGCTTACTAGGGTGTGCCTTGATTATACACGCATGTGTTCTGCATGCTTCCTGTAAGACATGTTGGGTATGTTATGTAACATTTATACCCTGAACCCTACAAGTGGTACCTGCATTTAAGTTGCCAAGGGCCTTTAAATTGGGAATTTAAAAGCACAGTGGCTTATTTATCTAATACAGTCTGAGAGGAAATACCATTTCTCTTAAACAAATTTTCCATTCCAAGTTTGTGGACCAGTTAAATGGTAAAAGGGAAGTTTATATACTTCTTAGCTACATGAAATCTTGTTATGAACTTTTATGAAAACCTGGCTGTCTCATCCAGAGGAAAGTCTGTTTATTGTCTAGAAGTAACTAGGAGATGAAAATCTATTCAGAGAGGCTGTGAGAACAGGGGAAAGCACCACCAGCAAGGAGTGAGAAAGCTGCTTCAGCTATGCTGCCTCCAGAGAATTCTGGTAGACTGAAGCCTCAGCTTCTTCCTCTATGAAGAGAGAGCTCTGGGAGGATTGTCTCAGAGGCCTCTCTTAGCTTTAATGGGCCATGATTTATTAATAACAGCCCTGGAATAATATTTCAAATAGTTTTCTGATTAAGAGAGACTTCATTCCAGAATCCAAAGCTTTCTATGAGTAGAAAACACTGGCAAAACTGTTCTAAATCAGGGAAATATTGAGTCTTCCTGTGAATAAGACATAAATATTTTTAAAAGTTTTAAAAACAGCACAGTCTAAATGCTGCCAAAACTAATAAAATCGAGTTTGAACCATATTAAAAAGTCAAATTTTAAAATAAAATGAAAGGGCCTGCCATTTAAAATAATGAATAGTTAATAATACATATTTTCTATATTCTTGCTGCATTGTGAGAAAGCACTGCCATATAGTGCTCTTGTCTAGACATCTAAGTCTTTTATCTTTTAGTAAACAACTATGCAGCAGCAAAAGGGAGAGGTGTGGGGCTAAATTGGGGCTTCCAAAACCGTGGCAGAGACCCAGCCACATTAGACAGATAAATGATCAAGTCCTCAAGGAACTAAAGTTGGTCTGACTCTTTTGGTCTTAAAATGAAGACTTTTCTAGCAGCCATAGTTGGGTGACAGTGCACAATAATGCCTTAAGGTGGTCTGTTCCCTATGAATACTTTCACTAGAGTTATTTAAGAATGGTGGGCCAAAATGTTGTGGAACCTTCACCACCAGCAAGGGCTTCCAAGTAGCTGTCAGGCCCAGGTGCCACAGGAAAGAGCCCATCTACCCTCCATCAATCAACAAGTGCAGTGATGCCCCACCCTAAAGCTAGCAGGCAGAAGTATCAGTTTCTTATTTTCATTTTACTTCAGCTTTGGATAAAGGCAGGGAGGCTTTCATGAAATGTGTCAGTCTAAGAAAGAAGATAGAGAAATGGAGGGATCTTACTACACGTTCTAGGGACCCAAGGTGGGCTGGTAAGATGTGGAAGAGAAGCACTGTTCTGCTCATATCTTCTCATTATCCTCTCTGCTCCACATTCTGTTTCTCACACCTCATTCTGCTCCTCAGCCTGAACCTCCAGTCAGCACTGGGGAAGCCTCTCCTGAGCTCACTGAAGCGACAAGGCTGAACAAATCCAGGACACCAGCATGTGGCATGCACAGCAGCAAGGCCAGCCCTCACTCCAGCTGCCAGGCCACAAGGAAAACCAACATGTGTTTTTGGCACCCACTTTGGAACTCTAACACATTCCTGTTGTTACATATAATTTTTTTAAGTACCATACTTTTTTCTTAGGTTTGTATTTCAGATACATTATGTGTTAGTTTTTTTCTGTTCTACACCAGAAAGCTAAAGCCTGTAGAGCTCAAAGTTTCTATGAGAAAACACTTAACCAACCAATTGAAAAAAATCATTAAAATATTCATTTCTTATACCAATAAATGGAATTAGTCCTCAAGAAATTGTAAACTCCAAAACAATTTCTTACATAGGTGTTTCTGTTTGACATTTAGGGGGAAGATAGATGAGAACGGCTTATACTAGAAACCTTGAGTTCTACTATTTGTGATATCAGTCTAATGCTAAAGAAGGGGTAGGAAAAGGCCAGAGTACATATGTAGGACCAACATAAGGAAGATTCTGTTGGCAGACTGATATTTGAAATATTTTAAAGCAACATAAGTTTAAAAACTAGGCACAAAAAGAAAAAAGATGCTTTACTCATAATTTGACCATTCCTCCTCCTAGGTATTGTATACTCTATACTTTCATACACACATACGATTTTATAGGTGTCTTTAATTCTAGTGGTATAAAACTGTAAGTGAGGATTATAAGGAACAAAGAGATACACGGTAAAAAATGTCACTTTCTAAGCTCTGGAGACCCACATCTAGGGTCAAAATCTCCTCCCTTGTAGAGTCAGTGTATACAGTTGATGTTGTTTTTTACTATTCTATTTACTAATTTAAGCTTTTTATCCTTAGTTTTCCTGTCAATATACCTGGCATTCAAATGTTAATATTAACAATCCCAGTTAACTGAGAGCAGTTGATTAGGAGTTGTAGATATGTTTTGAGAATGGAAGTGTGGGAGAGGAGAGGAAGGGGAAAGAGATGTGCTGTACCTCACCATTCAGCATCCTGACACCACAGCTGGGCTCACTGGGTGTTTAAAAAATGCTCACTGAGGGCCAGGGATTTAGCTCAGTGATACAGCATCTGCCTTGAAAGTGGCAAGGTCCTGAGTTTGATCCCCGGTACCGGGGGGAAAAAAAGATCATTGAGTAACTCCCGCAACCTCAAACTAAGCCAGAGACAAGACCTCAAATGATACTAATCTTAAGTGTCTCATTGCCAAGGTCACATATAACTGTGTGTCCTGGAAGAAAGAGATAAAATTAACAAACATTAGAGAATACAGTGTAATCAGGAACAAGCTGGGATTCAGCTAAGGACCAAGAACTGAGTTTCTAGGGAATGAATATTTTGGAGGCTGAACAAAAGCTGGGTACTAAACACTAAGGAGCTTGGACCACAGAGAAGCTCTGAGGTCAAAAAGCATAATGAGTCAAAGGTAGGTATGCAGCTGAGAAGCAGAGAAAGGAACAAAGACATACTGTAAGTGAATTCCAGGTGACTTTCACTCATATCAGGATCCATATCAGAATTTTCAGAATGACCAGCAGGGAGGCCCCACAGCAGCAACAAGAAAGCAGCCACCATAGCAGGTAATTTTCACCACCAGGGAATTGTTCTCAGCACAATTTCTCACTTGCATGCACAAACCTGACCACACACTCATTCCACTCCATGCCCTCCTTATCCAAGATACTGTACACCGTGCCCCTTTTTGCACAGATGTATAAAGGACAGCAATTTTTAGTCTGGTTGAGTAAGAAGAGATGACAGTATATGCCTGTGAAGCTACTAGATTTCTGGATTAGAGAACTGAGCCCTCCCATGGGAACTGTTGCATCAGGTGGCACAGAACAGGGATCCAGAACAATGAGATGTAGCTTTGGCTCCATTTTTATTCAGTTGGTGACCTCAGTAGAAGTCACCAAGATCTTTGCACCCCATTTCCTCTTATCATGAGGGAAGAGTGAAGAATAAGGTATGAGTTAACACTTCCACAAAGTAGGTACAGGTGGGAGGCTAAGGTTAGTTTTAAAATAGGATTCAGGATAAGATTATTAAAATATAAAAGATTTTATCATTTTCATATATATCTTGTAATCTCTTTCCTATGACAGAGGTAAATTACATATTTTGCCAGTGCTGGCCAGTTACCCAGTGGGCAAATGCTTATTGTCATCATTCAGATTTTTGGAGCATGTAAAGAATTACATAAAGTAATTATTAGATTAATAACTAAAGGTAGGATTTCCTAACACTGCTCTGATGCTTAAAAAAGACATGTCATATATAAATTTGTATTTTAATTCATCCATCCATTTATTTCTTACTCTTAAGTCAAGCAAAAACCTTGCCCATGAAGAGATGTTCAATCTGATTTCTGAGAAATAGTAACCAGCCTGGATAACTCAAGAGCAGGGCGGTAGGTCTTCCTGAGGCTGGCCCAGCTTTGACTGACTAGCAGTCTCTTTTAGTCACTAGTGGCACTCAAGCAAGGCAGGCCTGGCAGACTGTTAAGTGTCTGAGGCTCTAAGACATTCTGGGGAACCCCCTGCTGAGGCAATGTGGAGATGTTCTCCTGCCAGGACTTGCTCTCACTGATACACAACTCTTGGATATGACAATTTTGGATTTCATAATATTTTTGGTTTTTGAAATTTTCTGAGAATGTACAAGTTTCGTGGGTGATAAGAAACTATGATATACTGGGCTGGGGATTTAGCTCAGTGGCATTGCACCTGCCTTGTAGGTGCAAGGTCCTGAGTTTGATCCCTGTTACTGGAAAAAGAAAAAGAGAAAGAAACTATGATATGTAGGAATCACTTAGGAACTATGATACCTGTAGGAATATCAGCCATCAGATAGCAATGACTCTACACTCTAAAGGTTTTTGTTGGTACATTCCAGCTTTGTGGAATCTTAAAAAAAAATAAAATAAAAACAACCCAGCCTCCATCACAAGCACACAATCGGATAGAAGTTGTGGCAAGTGAATAAAAAAAGAATAGTCTGGACATCAGATAGTTTGGGTCAGATATTAGACAGTAGGACAGGTTAGAAGGAAAAAGACCCCAGTGACTTTATGGAAAAAGTGACCAATGATAAGACTGAGGTTGGAGAGGGCAAAGAGAACTAAGTTAGGAAAAATGTGCACATGTCACCTCAGGGATGCCAAAGATATTTATTTTAAAGGGACATAGCTATTAAGGCAATGAAAGGACTTAGGGAAAAGGGTTAAATCTGATAATCTATTTTTGCTTTTAGAAACAGTTTTCTAATTATAAAATTATTGTTCATTGTAAAAATTAAAGAAGAGACACAAGTTATCCATAGATTCTATCACTAAAGTTTATCATTAATCAAGCATATTTGTACCTTTTTATATATTTATAATAGGAGCATTTTTATTGCACAAAAATAATATTGTCTATTTTTAAACATCTTTGCAAACATTTTTGGGTGGTTCCAAAATATTTTATAGAACAAATATATCCTATTTTATCTTACTATTCATCTTTAAGCACTGGAATTGTCTGTAATTTTTTCTATTATAAGTAATTTTGTGATGAACATCTTTGTGCACTTTAGAATTATTTCCTGAGACTAGATTAAAAAAAGGAGAATTACTTTTTTGAATGACAAAGATATTTTTAAAACTCTCAGACCACACTACACTGGTGAATGGCTTTTCAAAAAAAAATTGTAAGTTTACTCTTACACTACCTACAAATGGCTAAGAATGCCATTTCATTGTACTCTTGCCAGTAGTGAGAAATGTATAGCTGCAGAAAATATGTCTGTTTAAACTCTAACTTAATACTCAATGTCTGCTTAATCCTAGATCAGTCTTCTACCTAAGACAGCATGAAAGAATATGTGCTCTTACTGCTCGTGGCTGTGTGTTCTGCCAAACCCTTCTTTAGCCCTTCACATGTGACACTGAAGAATTTAATGCTGAAGGATATGGAAGACACAGATGATGAGGATGACAATGATGATGACAACTCTCTTTTTCCAACAAAGGAGCCAGTAAATCCCTTTTTCCCATTTGATCTGTTTCCAACATGTCCATTTGGATGCCAATGTTACTCACGAGTTGTACACTGCTCTGATCTAGGTAAGAGCATAAATCAACTGTTTTTTTAAAGCTTTTTTTTGGTATCGGAGAGCGAACTCGGGACCTTGTGCTTGCAAGGCAGGCTCCGGAACCACTGAGCTAAATACCTGGTAATCAACTCTGTTTTAACCAAAAATCTGCTAGTCTGACAAAATTAAAATAGGAAAAGTCATTACTAAATTTAAAAATCATTCTCATTGATTGTAAAATTTTTTTCATTTAAATATTTATGTGGAAGCTGGGTGTCATGGTGCACGCCTGTAGTCCCAGCTACTTGAGAGGTTAAAGCGGAAGGATAGCAAGTTCAAGGTCACCCTACAAACTGGCCTATTACAAGAAAAATAAGGGGGCAGAGGTATAATGCATACTTGAGGCCTTGAGCTCCATTCCTAGCACAATATACACACATACAAACATACATACATACATACATATTTAAGGTGAGACTACATTAAACTGCAAAGTACATCCATACTTATTTCAAAAGCCCAGAGTAGAGGAAAACAATGGAGCTCTTACAAGCAGAACATTTCTTACATTTCTTTCTCTTCTCAAATTAAATTGAAGTGCTTCATTTTAATGTCCTTCACAACATTTCATCTTAGTGTGTTAGCAGGTTGAGACTGCTTTCCAGTAAAACTCTATGGTAAAAAATAAAGTACCTGAGCAGAACAACAAAATCTGTTATACAGAATTTGTGAAATCTTTATAGACATTTAAAAGATAATGTATGATTTGGGTTTAAAACTGCACTGAAAAGAAGTGGCTGAACTAAAGTATCTTTAAATTTATAATCCTCTGCTTAGTGGTATATTTAACTACTTCTGATGAAGGAACCCGAAAGACCACACTCACACCCTGCTCTTGGAGATGGATGTGACAGGATTATACATCAAGAACTGTATTCAGCTATGTTCAAAACAGGGGATACTGAGACAGCCCTGGTTGCCATTCAGGTACCGGGCTAATGGTCCATCAGGGCCACATCCTATGTCCATTTGAGACCTTACTGGCCCCATGACATGACCATGAAAGGGTCTGGATGCTTCAGAGCTTCAACTTCACCAGGGGCGGGGTGGGAATAGGATTGGCAAAATCCCTGTTACCAAGCAGATCCTTTCTACAAAACCTCCATCTTCCACAGGACTTCCCTTCATTTTTCTAAAACCTATAATCTCTTATGTTCATAAAGGTGGCAAAATTAACCTAATCTGACAAAACTGATTCTACCTTTTAACTCATCAAGTTACTCCTCCCTTCCCACTTCTTATCTATGGTTAAATTTCTGAAAATCATTGCTAATTTTAAAGTATAGAGGAGAAATATACATAAGGCTATATATACAGTGAAACTCAAAATATCTGGATATTCAATTCTTCAATTGCAGGATATTAAGGGGGCTGGAGATTTAGCTCAGTGGTGCTGCCACCTACCTCACAAGCACAAGGTCCTGAGTTCAATCCCCGGTACCAAAAAAAAAAATTTTTTTTTAAATTGCAGGATATTAAATATCCAACTATTTTGGGGGAGTAAAGACAGTTCTACCAAAAGTGTGCAAATAAGGCTGGGATGTAGCTCAGTGATGGAGTTCTTGCTTCTTGTATGTGAAATCCTAGATTCCATTGCCAACATTGAAAAAAAAAAAAAAGAAAAGATAGCAAGTATCTGTAGCTCACCTGAAAACGCATAAAAGGGAGGAACTGACAGGTGGACAACAAGTTTAGTACAGTAAAATGCTGATGGTAGAAAGTAGATATTGAGAATACGGGTTTTTACTTTAAAATTCTTACAACTTTCTAAACATTTTTATAATAAAATGCTGGGAAAAAAACCAAGAAGACCTCATGTTCATCAGGCATAATTTTTGTATGGAATGTCCACCAGTAAGCAGGAAGGGAGCATTTTCAATAAGCAGGAAGTGAGCCCAAAGACTAAAGGTTGGCCATCTATGGAAAGTAAAACTAGTAAGGAAGAACCACATTGTGTACTGCTCCTGAAACTATACATACTTTTCATCTTGTCTTTTTAAATCCAAGAGAGGAAAATATTTTAAGTCTTTTAGTCATGTAACTAATGTTTGAGTATTTATATGAAAAGGAAGTATGCAGTCATATCTTATTCTGACATGACAAAAGACAGCTATTTTTCATAATGACAAAGAGGGATGGCAACTAAAAGGTACCTCTGGTACAGGGTGGAAAAGAGCACGCTTGCCCTTGAACTAATGCTGTAGATAATGAAGTAAAGGTATACCTTATACTCAGATGCTAATAAAGAGTAATTCAGGAATAAATAAGTACTTTTAAATCAAAGAATTTATGACTAGTTGGGGTTGACTACTTACAGGAAATGGGTAGTAAAGTTTTGATAATGTACTTGAAAATTATTTATCTATTTTCTAAGTACAATGTCTACCTTTTGAGTCTTCTTAAAAATCATCAAGACCCATATGCTTCAAGTTCTCACTACTGCACCCTGAAAAGCTGCATACAAAGCTGGTATTCTTCAACCAAAAGTGCATCACATAAACTGTGCTTCAGCTGCCTGTCAGCTCTTTAGGCCCCATCTTATCCCATTATTTCACTGTGGAGTGAGCCAGGTCCAAGACAGATATCTTGTAAAAATAAATGAGTTACTTGAAAGGTCCTGAGGCTTTTCCAAAAACAATATTTGTGTCAACTATTAAGTCCTCTGTCACTTAATGGTAACCATGTATTTAAAGATGTATATCTTTATAATATCAGTAATCTCAACTTTAGTACTACTCTCTATCATATAACTGTGGATCTCTACCACTTTAGTAATCTAGGCTTCTGCAGAATTCTCTAGTGTCTGTAATATGTTTATTTATTTCTCAGGTTTGACCTCGGTCCCAAGCAACATTCCATTTGACACACGAATGGTTGACCTGCAAAACAACAAAATTAAGGAAATCAAAGAAAATGACTTTAAAGGACTCACTTCACTTTATGTAAGGATATATACTTTCGTTTTCAGAACTTTGAGTGAAAATCTATCATTGCTGAAATCATTATATTGTGTTAGTGCAAAGAAGTCTACTTTTATATAGATGAAGTATGACAAAATCCCTCCATTCAGTGAGGTTCTAGTTGATTAAAATTATAGAATTAATCCAATTAATAATTTAATTCATTTGATGTTTATTGAACAATAGCAAAGTTAAAGATAGGAGGCTGAGAGTTTAATGGTCCTTAATGTGTTTATAATCTACTTAGGTTACAATAGCCACTATACAGTAATATAAACAAGAAAACATTTATAGCAATCATTAGCATAGAGCAGTGATGACAAACATTTTAGAGACCAAGTACCTGAACTATAACCCAAAACTCAATGTACTAGTACAAAGTGTCAACACTGCAATTAAACCTGAACACTGAGGTTTTAGTTTAGAAAAACAACTCCTACATTAGCATCTTTTGTCTTAAAACAAAAAGTGTGTCATATGTTCACCACCACTGGTCTAGGGCATATTATATTTAAAGCACCTAGAACAGCGTATATTTACTTTATAGGTGACACTTCACTTAACTATCAAGACAATCAGCAATAAGACAACAGATTGTACCAAGGGTTTGCTCAGCTTATCCTTCAGATTGCATAAACTTTTAGAGAACTGTGAGGCCATTATTCTACCATTAGAGGTTGGAAATAAAAATTGGGCCAGGGATTCAGCTCAGCGGTGCTGCTGCCCGCCTCACAAGCACAAGGTGCTGAGTTTGATCCCCAGTACGAAAAAAAAAAAAAAAATATATATATATATATATATATCTTACACATAGATGTGTGTGCATAATTTTAAGAGAAGTTAGAAATACAGCTTACAAATGCTCTTACTGCTTCATCAAACCACATTCAACTTAAACAATCACAAGATTAATAGCTAATGTCATACTTAGTACCAGAGCCATAGAGGTTTTAAATTAATCTGTCATATAATAGTTTTATTATAGTTTATAAGTAATACAAGGGCTAGGTCCACATGTCCTCCCATTACTGACTGGGAAATGAGGATCTAAAAAGTGTCAGGAGCATTCTTAGGCTTCCTTAATACACTTTTAGTCAAATTTTATATGGCATTGTGTTTCAGGGTGAATATTCTGGAGTCAAACAGATATGGGTTCAAATCCTAAGTCTACCAGGTGTACAACAATGGCAAAGCAGCCTCACTCTCCTCAGTTTTAAGAGGAGTAAACTGACAGCATAAATCTCATAGAGTGTTTACAAGACTGAATAAGCAAATGCACGAAAGGTGCTAAGCAATTGCAGGGGACTCCAGGCTATTAATGAGTAGACTGACCCAATGTACTAGTGTAAAGCATTTTTTTGAGATGAGTCTCCCTGTGTGGCCTAACCTGGCCTCAACTGATCTTCCTGGCTTAGCCTCCTGAGTAGCTTGGGCTACAGGCATATACCACTGTGCCAGGGTGTAAAACACTTATTAAAGTACATGCTTTATACTTGAACTGTAGCTATACTGCACAGCTGCAAGATATTTATTTAATATCAGTTATGATACCAGTCTTAAAAGAGAATCAAAATGTTTTAGACAGGGCTGGGGATTTAGCTCAGTGGCACTGTGCCTGCCTTGCAAACACAAGGTCCTGAGATCCATCCTGGATACCAAAAAAACAAAGTTTTAGACATTCTATCAATTGTTATGTGTCAGCTGCTTACCTGGCACTGGGCTCTCACACAAAAGATGACACATTTAGAGGGTGAGTGAGATTTGAGAACACTCAGGCCCCTTGGCTCACTTTTCACTGTTATTCATCAAGACCTGCTGTCCTACTTATGCACACCACACTTTTCTTCAGTCCTTACACAGAACCACATGTTTTAAAGGATGAATTTAGGACTCTGTGATAGCCAATTCCTCATGTAAAACCCAACACAGAGTACAACTGCCCTGGAGTCACTCTGCCAGCTCACTGTGCCAGGACAGCATTTGACAGCACTGCATAAAAACTTTTGCTCTAGTTTTATCACTTATCCTTCCTTTTATGCATCTTTAGCAATCCCAACTGCATGTCTTAACCAGAAAAAACAAAAACAAAACAAAACAAAACAAAAACAATGACCAATGCCCTATGTACTAGGGCTGGATCTCCCTGAGGCACACGCTCGCTCTGGGCAGGGTACCTCTGAGCCTCACTGGCAGGGTGATGGCAGGCAAGTCATTTTTCTTCACTGCATCCATCTGTGCAGTAGTCAGAAGAGAACAATAACTTCTGCTAAAGTCACAGAGGTTGGAATCTTAACTGTGTGAGGTACCACCCTCTCAAAGACAAAAAAGATGAGCCTATATCTAAACCAAAGGCACAACACCAATCATTAAAGCTTTGCATTGTTCCAACTGAGAAGTACCTTTAAAGTATGCACAGTGATACTGATTTTTTTAAAGCTTAGAACAGGTTGGGAAATTTTTATATAGTTTGTTAAGTACACAAATGACTTAAATCATACTGATTTCCACGATTAATTATTGTAGAACATCAGTAAATCAAATCCACTCCTAATCTTACGTAACATGCTATGTTTTATCCAGGCTCTGATTCTCAACAACAACAAGCTAACAAAAATTCACCCAAAAACCTTTCAAACTACAAAGAAGCTGCGAAGGCTATATTTATCCCACAATCAACTAACTGAAATACCACTTAATCTTCCCAAATCATTAGCAGAACTTAGAATTCATGATAATAAAGTTAAGAAAATACACAAGGACACATTCAAAGGAATGAATGCTTTACATGTGTTGGGTAAGTTTTTCAATGAATGGGACATTTTAAAATTATAATCAACATGCAAATGTAGAAGACTTTATTATCAGTGTTAACTTATAAGGATAATTTCCAAAACTAATGTTTGAATCCTTGCTTCAATAAACAATTTATAGTGCAGATAAGGATCATCGTGTATAATAATGTGAAATAGGAAGAAAAGATCCAAAGAGGAAGGGGAAGTGGGAGGGGTTGGGGAAAGGAAAGAAGGGAAAGGAATAAATATGAGAAAAGGAATAAATGGACACAAAGTCTTTGTAAATAGGGAGGGGTGGAGGGGTTGAAGGGAGGGCAGAGGAATGGGGAAAAACTAAGAACCAAGATAGATTATGTAAAGGTACAAATTCCCAATAATGAATGTCAGCATTTTGTATTACCAATAAAATTAATGAATGAAAAAAATAAACCATTTATAAATCAATTAAAATGTAAACAAAATTCATAGCACTTAAATAAAATATGGTCTTTAACACTGTGTCTTTTTCTTGAGAGTCTCCTTTGAAATACCTAGTGTGGTTTTATTTTCTGAACTGGACCCTAATTAATAAAATCTATGTTATCATTATTTAATTTAAGGATAGTATTTTTGATGTATAAACTACTCAACTATAATGATGAAATTAATTCAGATAGTATATGGAATATAAACCTAAATTTGGTTAACTGCTTTAATTAAGATCACTGATCTAAGCCAGGCATGGTGGCACACACCTGTGATCCCAGCATTTGGGAGGCTGAGGTGGGGGGACCGTCATGAGTTTGAGGCCAGCCTGGAATATATAGTGAGTTCAAGGCCATCCTGAATTACAAAGTGAGATCCTTTCTCAAAAAAACAAGAATAAAACAAAACAAAAGATCACAGAGCTAGGCAATTTTTTGTTGTATATTTTTACACATTCCCACCAGCTTAACTACTGGTGGTACATGTATGACTGTCTCATTAAGAGGCATGGGACAGTTTCATTGGGTAGTACAAGCTGCCCGTTGGGACAGTAATGTATGTACAACCCTGTTGTGAATGTGTTAATCCCTGCTGACTTTTTACTTCTAACACCATATAACCATGCCATCTCCTCACAATATCCAAACAAATGTCTTAGCCAAGATTCTCACTTATTTATTCACTTAATTCAATTAAGTACCTGGCATTTAACCAAAAACAGCCTCTAACTAGCATTTTCCCAGCGTAGTCTGCTAATCATGTAATTTCTTTTTTGGGGGGGTACTGGGGATCGAACTCAGGACCTTGCGCTTGTGAGGCAGGCAGCGGAACCACTGAGCTATATCCCCGGCCCTAATCATGTAATTTCTATGATTAAAAAGAAAATTTAAGAAATAAAATTAAAAACACAAATATTTTTAATTATATGAAGGTTGATTTTTTTTCCTGATGCAATATTACTACAACAAAACCTTTATCATGGTCATGATTACAGGAGAAAGTGAACCTGTTATGTATCTGATTGTACAAAGTACAAATTCGTGCTTTTTGGAAACAGGAGAACAGAACAATAAAAACAAATACTCAGTGAAAATGAGTGTGAATGATGAAGCTCACATTCTTGGAATATTCTTGGGATGCATCTCTGCATTGTGAGTTTTCTTTCCATGTAAGCTATATGTGCTAAATCGAGTCATTTTTCCCACAGAAATGAGTGCAAACCCTCTTGAAAATAGTGGAATAGAGCCAGGTGCATTTGAAGGGGTGACAGTGTTCCATATGAGAATTGCTGAAGCAAAACTAACCTCAATTCCTAAAGGTTTGTATTTATTTTAAGATCAAGTATTTTAAAACTGTTATCTTTCAGTGTCCATTGTACAGTATACATTGTGTAAATTGTGCAGTATACATTGCCAGAACCATGCTACAATTAGAAATCCTTGTATCAGTGTATCTGGACAGAAGAATATTAAATTTAGCATCTTTTTACATACACATAGAGAACTATATAGTGATTTTTTTTTACAGCATTAAACTAATTTTAACTGACATTAAAACACTGAGAATGTTTAAGAATACTAAGAAGCAGTGGACTTTTTCTTTTCTCTTTTTTAGTATTTACTTACCTATATTTGTTATTCTGTGAAGTATGCCTGCTAATCTGTGAGGTGCATTAAGGGTGTATAAATCTATAGAAAGAAAAGCCTCAGAAAGCTAGATGGGGCTGACTTTCAGCACCAGCTGTGCTAATTGCTTGCATGTTACAATTCCATCAGTGGATGAAATGACAGATTGCCCTGGAGTCCTTATCAGGAAGAGTTAATTAGAAATAAAAAAAATCTTCCTTCTTATTCATTTGGGAAATTCTAGTGCATAATCACATTGTGTGTAACTGTGTGTGTGTGTGTGGGTGTGTGTGTGTGTTTGGTGAAGGTGGTGGTGGTGGCAGGAGGCACTCATTTGAGAACAGAATAGGAAAAGACATTCCTGTATAAAAGCATGCTGATATTTGTTGGCAGTCACTGAGCTTCTCCCAGAATCATAGACTCTGCTCACACCTCTGTCTTCTCAGTTGTGTTCTACTCTTTTCTCTGAGCACTCACCTTCCTTATGTCCCAGGGTACACATGGCCCCTCAAATTCTTCATACCTTCTTCCAGAGATGTCACTCTTCTCAGACTTTCTACTTTAGAATAGGCTGGTATACTATACCATCAATTTTTCTGGTAATTTTTCTATGTATGATGATCTCAATGAGAATACAAGGTATTTGAGGACAGAATTTTTTGCCTTACATATTGGAGGGATTATTATAGTCACTCTATAAATATAGCTCTACTTAATCAGAATTTTTAAAAAATAGAAACTTCTGAGTTTCAAGGAATTATTTCCTTGCACTTGAGTTTATTTACTTTTAAAATTCAAAGTATATTCTGGAATCAAAATAAATTCAGCCATGATGACCACTGACACTCATAAGGATATTTTAATTATCTTCAGTAGTCATTACACAGGAAGGAAATATTGCAGTGAAAACTGAAAAGAAGAAAGCTTTCCCAGATAACTACCTATTGGTTGACAATACATTGTGTATAGGACTAATAAAATGAAGTTTGATTGAGTCTTCTGATCAGTCTCTTTCACTGTAGCTTCTGCACATCTGGAGAGGGCTGGGGTCAGAAGATGCCAGTGAAAAGAGAAAGACGGATGTTCACTGGGCACTTATTAGGTGCCAGGACACTGCAAAAGCACTATGTACTTTATTACACAAACAAAAATTCTACTATTAATTTAAAGAATAAATACTGCAATGGATTAACTATCTCTGGTAGAATAAAAATTCTTTGCTTATATTGATACCAAAAACAAAAACAAAATTTAAAAATCTTCACTGGTCACCTCTGGGCATTGCGCCAAAGAGAGAATCAAGTTTTTTCTTTTTTCAATGAAAACTATATTAGTAAGTAATAATTATGAGGGTAAATCATTTAGAGATGAATTCCAGACAATAAATCTATAAAGAATAACAACATCCACATAGTCAAAGGAGCCAGGCACAGCTGAGACAGAAGGACTGCATTCGTCCAGAAATAAGTATGGTCAGCCTGGGCAACACAGTAAGACCTTATAAACAAACAAACAAACAATCCAGTAAGTCACCACTTTCTGATTACTGATGAAAGAGTGGATCAAGGCAGCATCCATGAATGAATGCCAAAATCATCAAGTGAAAGGTGATCTACCTAAATCTGATTGTGTCTTTGGATCTAAGGGCCAGGCCATAAGAAATAAGGGGTTAGTTTCCTGACAGATAATTATCATCTGGATGCTGTCAGCCAAATGAACAAAATGAATGTCTCAAATCAATACCTGAAAGAATTCAATAGAAAGGAGTGTATTAGAAAAAATGAAAGATTTAAAAAGAGATAAGAACCAAAGTATTCTGTAAACTTATTAGATACTGACTTGAACAAATTAACTATAAAATGATATATATGAGACAACTGGGGGAGATCAGTATTAGATGATATCAAAGAATTATTGCTAACTTTGTTAGACATTAATATTGGCAGGGTAGCGTTGGGGATTTAGCTCAGTGGTTCCACCTCCTGCCCCACAAGTGTAAGGACCTGAGTTCGATCCCCGGTACCAAAAAGAAAAAAAAATTTATTTAAGAAATATATATATATTGGCAGGGTGGTTAGTACAAAGAAAATGAAAAAGATTACCTTATCTATTGAAGTTAGGTAAATAGTGAAGTATTTACAGGTGAAATTACATTTGTCTATGGGATTTGAGTTTAAATACTCCAACTTAAAAAAAAAAGACAAAACAGATAAATATGTCAATAAATAAATGGTGTAGATGAAATAAAAGTGGAAAAAAGAAGCTAGGTTAAAGCTGGATGACAGCATAGTAGTTTACAATAATAGTTTCTATTTTGTACATGGTTGAAATTTTTCACAATAAAAAGATTTTTAAAAGTAGGCACTTAAATAATTAGTTAAATCCATAACCTAAAACAACAAATATTCATTAGGTATGGCCTTACTTGATCTAACAACATCTTTCTTTTTTTATTAGACCTACCATCAACTTTATTAGAGCTTCATTTAGATTTTAATAAAATTTCAACTGTGGAACTTGAGGATTTTAAACGATACAAAGAGCTACAAAGGTAAAAGTTTCCAAAATCTTAATTTATTTTTAGTATATATTTGTAGTGTATATTAATCACATTTATCATGGGGAGTTGGTACATGTACATAACACACCAAAATTTTAATTTAGAAGTAACAGCACACAGGATTAAGATATTACTGAAGGTTCTTAGAGAATGTGTATAAGGACCCTAGTTCAGATCATTACTGTTGGTACTAGAGAGTACAGAAGAAAAACTAGAAAGAAGCACTATTATTACTGCATATGCTAATGGAAGAGACAAATCAAGTTGAAATGAAGGAAAGCACATTTTGGAAATTTTCTCTTTGGTGTATTTAGGACAGATAATAGTCTAAGAGTATGTACGCGGGGGTTATATACTGAACTAGGTTATTAAAGCCATGAAAACAAGGTATAGAGGCACATGCTTGTAATTCCAGTTACTGAGGAGACTGAACCAGGAGAATTGTGAGTTCAAGGCCAGCCTAGGCAACACAGTAAGACCCTGTCTCAAAAAAAAAAAAAAAACAACCCAGGAACCACCTTTTGTGTGACCACACATGAAAATAGGAAAGGCTTATATTCTAACTAGGGCTGTGGTATTTTCAGCTAACTCTATCAAATGTAATCATCTTCATAAGAATTGACACATTTTTATATCATTTTTAGGCTGGGCCTAGGAAACAACAGAATTGCAGATATCGAAAATGGAAGTTTTGCTAATATACCGCGTGTGAGAGAAATACACTTGGAAAATAATAAACTTAAAAAAATCCCTTCAGGATTACAAGAGTTGAAGTACCTCCAGGTAAAACACTGTACTTGTGTCTGGAAGATACAAGCACTTTTATAAAACACATTTAGTATTTTTCAAAGACCAACTGAGGCTCAAGGATAATTCAGACATCATGAATCCCCAAGTTGAATAAGGTGTTTTAGCAGATAGGAGAGCATTAGGAGAATGGGTCCAAAAAGTTTTCACTCAAGAAGCCCTGGTTTTTTCTACTGAAGCTGCTGAGGTCCTCATGGCAAAGATGCCAATATACCTAACTTCAAGTTTCTGTAGTTGCTAAGGCAGGATTGGCAGGGTCCTATGTCCTTTTGTTTTGGACACATCTCACAGAGCAGAACAAGAGAATTAGGATCTGGGTATTTTCACTATCCATATGGTGCTAGGTTGGAAGTGGGTATGCTTTTTAAAACATTTATAATTAAGTGGAATTCAGCATTTGGAGGATCAAAAGCTCATACTGGGTTGGAGACATAATTCAGAAGTGTAGGGCTTAACTAGAATGTGGAAGGCCCTGAGATCCATCCTCAGTACCATGAAAAGATAAAAAAAAAATTTACATTTTATCATTTGCTATTCTTTCTTATCTGACAATTCTTAACTTGCTGACAAGAGTCACAGAAAATGAAAATAATATTTTGCACATAATTATAGGTTTTTCAAAACCTTTTTGATTCTCATGTAGGGATCTCAGATTAAGAATCCCTGCATAGGGCCAGGGATTTAGCTCAGTGGTTTTGCCACCTGCTGCACAAGCGCAAGGACCTGAGTTCGATCCCTGGTACCAAAAAAAAAAAA